CTGCTTTCGTGTATTTACTTATACGTCTAGGTAAATATTATTGGAGAATGTAGCTGACTGCTAGATCTTATCATTACGTAAATCATGGCGTTTTCAAAGATGAAATTGTTTGTGAAAAATAATTCGAGAGTTTTAAGAACTAACTTGTATTTTACAGAGAAAGGAATGTTTTGTAGTATTACGTCATACTTCAAAAAGGATAGATAAAAATAAACTAAAACTACCAGTATTTTATAATTTTAATATTTTAGTGTTGGTTTGCGGGGATTCAATTTGATTGGCTACAGGATCCCATCATGAGCTGACATCAGTTAGAGAACCATTGGAAAACAAGCACTCTAATACTGCTGGATAGCTAGCTGCTTTACTCAGCCTACTTTGGGACTCCTTAGACGTGCGCACCGGTCCCGCTGACAGGATCCAAACCGACCACCTTCAAGTTAAAAGGAGAGCGCGTCGACCATTAAGCCAACGTCGGTGGCACAGTGGTTAGGACTCTCGCTGACCATGCACATGGTCCGAGGTTCGATCCCCTGCCGACGCACAACCGATATCTATGGTCGGCCTGCAAAATCTGGGCTACCGATATCCATGCTGAAAATGCCATACTTGTACTGAAAATACGGTGTGGCATCAAGCTGTAACCAAAATAAAAATAAATATAAAATAATTCCAGATTCTGCCAATTCACAATGTAGTGTGACTGGCACTAACCAATCTCATCATTGGTGAGTTTTGTTCCCACATCCTATCTCCTGTACCCTCCTGGTCGCGGCAAATACTCACCAATAAATTTGGCTAGTGTCAGTGGTGCTTCATCATGCGAGAATTGGTAGAATTTGGAATTCATGGACTGGCGGTCCCAGTGAATTATTGTCCATTACTTGACTGGAGGAGACTCTCGATTGGCATTGCGCTCAATGCAGGGCATTTCTCGAGTGGAATCCTAGTAGGAAAGGACGAGTGGGTCGTCAGTGCGAGGGTGAAATGAAGGAAATCGTTTGCGGGGAGGAGATGAGAGAGTATTGGGGAATTGTGAAATCAGGCAGATGAAAAGGACAGCAGAAAACAGGGCAAAGTGAAGCTGTATGTTTGAAGCCCTATGTTGCATTCGGAATCCAAGTGAATGATAATAATCGAAGTTTTAGCTGAAATATACATTTATATTTCCATATCTGGATGGGTATTTGTGTTAAGCGCGATAAATTGTATGTAACAAAATGTGAACCAATGTTGATATCATCATGTCTGTAATAACTGGGTACTTGTTGAACATTAAGTTTTACGAGTTGATCACGGATTGATGTCAGTTAGAGAACCATTGAAAACCAAGGAGTACTGGACAGCTGCTGTTTCATCCTAGTTTGCGAATCAACGGCAGTACGCAACCACTGAGATTCGAACGCAGGACCTTCCGGTTACAAGGCAAGCTCGTATGCCATTCAGCCACTGGGACCAGACTCCTCAATGGCAAGCACATGAATTCTAGCTTCCACCGACTCGTGATTTAGCGCGACCCAAACCATTGTCGTTGGTGGGACATCCATCTACACACGTGACATCTAATTGGACCTCACTGGTCACGACTTCTCACTAGAACTCTAGGAAACTCCATCCTGTAGCAAGTCACTAGCGAGCATCAGATTAGTTTTCCATAGTTTGGTTTGTAAGGGTTAGTTGGGGTCGCGCTAAATCACGAGTCGGTGGAAGCTAGAATTCATGTGCTTGCCATTGAGGAGTCTGGTTCCAGTGGTTGAATGGTATACGAGCTTGCCTTGTAACCGGAAGGTCCTGCGTTCGAATCTCAGTGGTTGCGTACTGCCAATGAATCCCAAACTAGGATGAAACAGCAGCTGTCCAGTCCTCCAGTGCCGGTTTTCAATGGTTCTCTAACTGATGTCAATCCGTGATCAACTCGTAAAACATAACTAACCCTTACAAACCAAACTATAGAACATTAATTTACTAAAATATCTGTGTCAGAATGAATTTAAAAAAGAGAGCTCAACGCATACTGTTAAATATTAATCTCAGACTCGTTTGCTGCAATTTTTTCTGTAAATCAGAATGTGTTATGTGCAGCTATTGTAGAGAATTGTCGGCTAAATAAACAACTAGAATAAGAAAAATTGTGTAAACAATAACTCAGCTTACTGTCACTGTGATATTATTATTTTAACCGTGAACAAGCCTGCATGTGTTATCGATTCCCTGATTCCCGGCTCTTAGTACTTAAAAAACGTCATGCAGTTCTTCCCATTAATAAACTTAAACAAAGCAAGAACAACAATTGTGCCAGGATAATATGAGCTCATGTTTTATTATTATTTCGAGGATTCTTCTCAACTGGTTACAACCTGAACGATAAAAAATATGAATTACATTACATTAAAGATTTGAACATACTTTTCCACAATCACAAGGAGTAATTGGTAGGAAGTAAAAGTAACATTCGTCCGGAATGATTTAACTAATTAAGGGTCACAAACACTGACTATTTATGGAATAATTAGAAAATTAGGCTTGGAAACAAAAAACAGAGTTGCGTATATATGTGTGTGTATAAAAACAAGGTTTAGCTAGAAAGAGCATAACAAAAAAGTAGATTACGTAACTAAAGAAAATGTTTTACCTAACAGCCAGAAGAAAAAAAGAAAAGAACAAGGTAGGGTGAGTCATGTTTAGATGAGAGAGTAGAGTTTTCTAAACAAGAAAAAGGGTGATTCATAAAAGTTGTACATTTCGTTATCACCAGGGCAGTGCAAGATTCACCGCTGTCTCTTTCCGCGTGCAAAAATTTGGTTTAAGTCGTTTGATAGCAATTGCTTCAACAAAGCGTAGCAAGTTAGGTTTCTTTTGCTTGTTGATTATTTTGAACGACTTCAGGTTGTCTACAATATGACCAGTGTCTAATAGATGACGCGCAATCGCACTGTTTAATGCTTGTGGACCTTTCAGTCTCAGTTTCTTTGGTATGTGTTCAGTACATGTTCAGTATTTCCGTTAGACCCTACCGTTTTACTGTAATGTCAAATGTTTAGTGGAATAGTTTTCATCGGCTTAACATTTACTTTTGACAGATCATCGTAATTCTAAGCATTCCTAAATTTCCTAGCTAATAAATATAAGGCACAAAACAGAGGGGAATTTCGGTGCGAGGCTAGCAGCTTCACTTGTAAAAACAATAAAGCCACACTAAGTGAAACATCAAAAAGAAGCTTCAAGTTGTGTGTTCCACCTGAAACGAAAAAAAAATGAATAAAAATTAATTTAATGTTGAAACGTGTATGGAAACTACATTTATACTACATTATTTTTTTAGTTTTCAACACTGTTATACTCCTTGACGAAGTATACTAAACAGATTTGGACGTCCTAATGACTAAATGAATGGATGGAACAATATGTAGACGTTTGTATCGACAAACTTACTTCCACTGGACAATATACTCAAGTCCTGAGCTTCCTACCTCTACAGTACAAACGTAGTTTAATTGGATGTCTCGTTCGCCGGGCTAGAGTTATCTGTTCAAATGAGACACTAAACGAAGAACTCGGTAATATTCGTGATCTGCTAAGTAGAAACGGATATCCGACTGCATCCTTGAAGAAACACATGAAGTCAGGAAGTAAAATGTCGAAGTTGCCGACTGTCCCCAGAAAGTCAACATTCCTATAGTTTCAATTCACAGTGAGTGAAATCTTATCACAGCGTCTTAGAAGTGCCTTCAAAACGACATTCTATGCAGCTAAGCTATACTGTGTATTCACTAGCCAACCAATACTTAGTTCGAGAAATGAAGACGGACTGCCCTGTTTCGCCTCTTCCATGTGTGGAGCTAGTTACATAGGCAAATTCATCGTTGAAATTCCGAACATTACTTATGTTGGTCTGCCAATGGTCAGGATAAAGGTAAGTGCAGCTGAATACCAGCCCATATCGTCGATACTTGCTGGACATCAAGTCGACTCTAACAAAGCTTTTAAAGTTATTTATCGTATATCACCCAACCTCTCATTGTATCGTTTACGAGTACGACTTTTACATACAGCAGAAGCAATCGGAATTCATCTGAACAAGCCAAATCTATGCGTCAGTTGAAAAGAAATTTGTACGGCCGCTCTCTTTACCATGGCCAGCTACATAATCTGATGCTCTCTAGTGACTTGCTACAGGAGGGAGTTTCCTAGAGTTCTAGTGAGAAGTCGCTACCAGTGAGGCCCATCCATTCAAGTGTGAGGATGGATGTCCCATCGACAACATTGATTGGGATGGCGCTTATTCACGAATTGGGGAAAGTTAGAACTCATGAGCCATTGAATCAGGTCCCAGTGGCTTAACGGTATACGAGCTTGCCTTGTAAGAGGAAGCTCCTGGGTTTGAACCCCAGTGGATGCGCACTGCCGATAACTCCCAAAATAGTAGGAAACAGCTTTCCAGTACTCCCTGGTTTTTAATAGTTCTCTAACTGATATCAATCCACGATCAACTTGTCACTACAGAATGTGTATCAACTTTTTGAAGAAGGATTTCCCATCCCCTTCTTCCCTTTGTAAATATCTTTTGACTTTCTGAGTTTTTACAATTTTTACAATTCTAGCTATTTCCATTAACTTGTTTGTATTTTACGCAATTCTTCTCAGTCATCATTGCTATTTTACAAATTTCTTGATTATGTAACAACTTGTCGCTAACTTCTATGAATTAACCTATCTTGAATTACGTAGTTAATTTTCACTCCTCGTTTAAAACTTAGATACCTTGTTACTAACATCTATTAGTTATTTGTTTTGATGACCTTTAACCTCTTGAATGCATCCCCGCCTAAAACTGATTAACTAAAATAACCACTTGATGCGGAACCTCTAATTGAAAAGGAATGCGTGTTTTTCGCTCAATCTGTTGTTTTTGAACAGACTTAGTACACTTTTATTGTTCCTTTTTGAAAGTTCATCTGATATGCTTTAATATTATTATTATTACTTCCAATTTACTTTAGAAATCTTGACACTGACAAAGAAGATCTATTCAAAGATTCTTCATGGCCTAAACTTGATGTCAAACTATCCATAAAAGATGAAAATGGACAATCTGTACAAACAATACTTGAATCAACCGCTGTGAAATTTGAAGCTGAATTAATCGATGAATTGAGTAAGTTCAATCTAACCGCGTAATATATTTATTTAATAAAACAATTATTAGTTACAAGCACTTTAACTAGAGGCTAAATTGCCTAACTTTCCATCAAATAACTGATAATATTTCTAGCAATTACAAAGAAGAAGCACACCATCGAATTTTGTTTATCTGAACAGATGACGTCGACTAAGAGATTGACGAAAAAAATATGAAAACAACGCATTCGAAACACACATCACTACTGAGATGAATCCTACCTATATACAAATGAAAGACTCATAAATAGCGGGTAGTTATGGAACTTCAATTCTGAAATCACACCGTCGCCTCTTTCACTAACCAGGCTGAAACCACTGATTGGTAGGGCGATAAAGCTAGTCAACATTTTACTAAAGTATAAGAATAAAACTTGGGCACTGTGGCGGATTATAACTCCATTATGGATAAGATTTTATTTTGATAAATCACACAGTATTGTTATACAGTAATATTCACTGATGACCATGTTTCGAGCACAAACTATTGCCGCTCATAATCATATCAAGCCACTCACACTTTTTTTTCCTTTTTCCTTCATTTATATACATGTGTGAAATTGACCAGATATTTGAATAAAAATCATTATTGGATAATGTACATTTCGAAATAATAATATGAGTGTTATAAATAAAATACAATCAGATGGGAAATAAGACGAGTGTTTTTATAGTCAAAATAAGTAACTTGTTAGAATGTTATGATGTACTTGAATTGAAATAGAATTTTAAGATGATTTATTATCCTCCTCTGATTTGACCGACTGGTGGTAATAATATCTTCCATGCATATCTCTGGTATTTGCATTGAGTCATTTCTGTTGCATGTGTTGGGTGTAGACACGATGAACCAGTCAGGATTCAGTAATCAATCTCTGTCTCTCTCCACATAAATAGATCACTTCTTAGAATCTTTACCCTCTCTCACCCTATTGTGTGGTTGTGTGTTAATGAATGCACTGCAATTGCTGAGCTTTTTTCTAAATTACTCATCTGTCTTCTTGGAGTCAATCATTCTTACCATATTTTACGAGTTGATCACGGACTGATATCAGTTAGAGAACCACTGGAAAACCAGGGAGTACTGGACAGCTGCTGTTTCATCCCAGTTTGGGAATCATCGGCAGTACGCACCCACTGGGATTCGAACCCAGGACTTTCCGGTTGCAAGGCAAGCTCGTATACCATTCAGCCACTGAGACCCGATTCAATGGCTCATGAACTCTAACTTCTACCAATTCGTGATTTTAGCGCGACCCCAGTGGCTGAATGGTATACGAGCTCGCCTTGCAACCGGAAGGTCCTGGGTTCGAATCCCAATGGGTGCGTACTGCCGATGATTCCCAAACTAGGATGAAACAGCAGCTGTCCAGTACTCTCTGGTTTTCAATGGTTCTCTAACTGATATCAGTCCGTGATCAACTCGTAAAACATAACTAATCTTTACAAACCAAACCATAGGAAATCATTCTTACCTTAGCTAAATTCTTATGTTCCCACAATCTGACTACCCCCGACCTACTAGTTTGACCTATGTAGTTGAGCTCACTCACAGTGATTGCAAGATATTTTGTAAATTATATTATTTTGTCTAATTGGGTCAAATTACAGGGTCCTTTAACCTACACAGGTTGTCCTACCTGAGTGAGTTTGTAGGTTTGAATGCCAGTCTAATTCCTGCTTTATTAAGAATCCTATGTAGGGTTTCAGATATTCTCTCCGCGTATGGTAAAACTAAAGATGCCTTTTATTCTTTCAGATACATAGGTCAAACCAGTAGTACGGGAGTACCCAGATTGTTATAACGTAAGAATTTAGCTAGGGCTAGAACGATTGAACCTGCGAAAATGAGTAGTTCTGAAAAAAGCTCAGCTATAGCACTGCATGCATTAACACACAACCACACTCAATAGGATGGGAGAGGGTTAAAATTCTAAGAAGTAATATAGTTAGATGGAGAGCGAGTGAGGTTGATTACAGAATCCTTGTTCATCGAGTCTACACCCAACATATGAAACACAAATGAGTCAATGCAAATACCAGAAATATGGAAAATATTACTACCAATCAAATCAAAAGATGAGAAATAATGGAATCATATCAAAAAAGATGGAAAGTTTTGTGATTAACTTGATAAGATTATGACCGGCAATGAATTGTACCGGAAACGTCAACAGTAAATATTATTATATATAACACTGTGAGAATTTATGAAAATAAACTCTACCCACACTGGTATTTCTTAGTGTAACTTTCATAGCTTTTTCAATATCAAATTATTTTCAGGATTTCATCATGAGCTGAGCTTTTTTCTAAATTACTCAATCCATCTTCTCGGGGTCAATCATTCTAACCTTATGTTCCGACAATCTGATTACCCCGATCTACTAGTTTGACCTATGTAGTTCACCTTACTCACTGTCACTGCAAGCTATTTTGCAAATTATATTATTATGTTTAATTGGGTCCTCCGGGTCTTTTAGCCTACAGAGCTTGTCTATAAGTGAGTTTGTAGGTTTGAATACCACCCAAATTCCTCGGTCGGTCGGGCGGTTTTCAACATAGAACTTTGCACATATGTGCGCCAGTTCAAGTCACCACACTCCCTCCATGTTGCACACAAAGGAAGAGAAGAAAGTAGGAGAAATGCAAAATAGAGACAGTAAACAGAAGTGTGAGGCAAAGTAATAGTAATAACGAAGAACAAAACAGTTTCATTGGAAATCATAAGTCACAAGGAGTGGATGCATCTGCACAAGCCATTGAGAACGATTTTGAGCCATGTCACCAATTGTTTGCAACCATTGGTTTTTAACGTCCCGAGGACCCCAACCAGAAAGTCTAGACCTTCCTAAGTGGCTTAGACTAACTGTTGTGGATTTCATTGACTGGTGCCATGTTTTGGTTTGACCGGTGCTAGCTGTTTTCCAGCCCGACCTATATCAGCTAACATTGCTCGTCGAGGAAGGCGATCAATGTCTTGGCATACGTAACACATGTCCTAACCATTTCAGTCGATGTAATTTCACAGCCTCGCCGATTGATTTCTCCGCCTTACCTAGCACTCGACGCCTAACCTCAATATTGCTCACCTTATTATACCACTTCACACGGGAGATAGAATGCAGGCACCTATGATCGAAGACAGCTAATCTCTTCATGTCTTCTGCTCTCAATGGCCAAGTCTCACAGCCATAAAGGAGGACGGAGCGACTGTGAGCAGTACACACGCCCTTCGTCGATAGTCGGATATCACGTCTACGCCAGAGATGACGTAAACTGGCATATGCGAAACTAGCCCTCTGTATTCGTGCTGAGATTTCGTCGAAGATCAACCTTGGGCTGATGGTACTTCATAGTAATGTATCTATACTTCTTTCCTGCTTTATTAAGAATCCTACTTAGGGAGGGTCTCAGATGTCCACACATGTATATAAATGAAGCAAGAAAGTTGTGTGAGTGAGTGACTTGATATGATTATGAGTAGTGGCAATAGTTTGTGCTCGAAACGTGGTCATCAGTTAATACTACTGTATAACACTACACTGTGTGACACTTTATCGAAATAAAATCTTATCCATAATGGAATTTACTAAAGTGCCTAATTGAAATCCAAAAACGCTAATTAATATACTTGCTTGTTTTTCATGGTTATTTTTATCACGAATATTATCGACTGAAACATCTAAATAATGTCGCTTGTGTAGACCAATCAAAGATTCTGTCATTGATAAGGGCATGAAAAAGGAGAAAACAAACTTGAATCTATCTGTCTTAGATTTTGCTCTGATATATAATTATTATTATCTTTTTTAATTAGAAACATATGACGTCATCTAAGTATTGAAAATAAAATGAAGTCAAAGATTAGAAAGTGAAACTGAAGTTTGGTAAATATGTAACACAGTGATATAGCAGTCACGCAAGGAGGGAAAACGGAACACGTGCTACGTTGGAGCGTGTATTTTATACAACGTAAGACATCAGAATACGCAGGCTAAACCCTTACAAACAATCAGTCTTTCTGTCATCAGTGATATCAAGTCTTGATAGAAGTTGTGCCTCTTGTTCCATGGAATGGACTCCTGGGTATTTCGCTGGAAGAAATAAATGAAAACATTGTTGAATACTTTATCTATAACGGGTTTTATTTTGTTAGGTAGCCTCGTCTCTTCTCGAGGCACTGTCCTCGATGCCTACCTAGTTGTAGTATTGGATGTGCGTTCCACTCCCTTCAGCTGGCACCTCGTAGTGGGTGGTGGCAGGTGATGGTTGGAATGCGTTTGATAGTTCTTTTAAGGTGGCTGGACGATGTGGTTTCAGTTGGCTACAATGGGGGGTGATAGTATTGTCCTGAGGTTACGGAAGGTTCCGCAGAACATACGTAGTTAACGATCAACTCTCGACGATCACATAGGGCCCTTGCTTTGGGGCGAATAATTTCAAAGCTTCTCTTATATGCCTCACTTAGTGTCTTAGAAATATCCTTGGTACTACTTAGATTTTGTGTTCTATTACCTAAACATTTCATCAATCCTATTTTATCGAATCAACTGCAAATACGTGTAATAGGAATCATTCAACACCAATCCACTGGGATATCTGGAAATTTCTACTACCCTTTCTGAAATGAGAACACGTGTCACCTAGTGCTGCTGGCAGTTAGAGACGTTACCACTGAGCTATTTGGAATAATGATTGACCTTCTGTAGGCCTGTAATCCATATTTCGATTGGATACAAGTTAGTAACTGATGTCATTAGTCCATTACAACTTTTGATGCAGAGTTAACTCTCTCTCAAGTCAAGTTTGCAGTGTGACTATCTGGGTTTTGTGCTCTATTAATTAAACATTTCTCCAATCCTATTTTCACCAACATATATACTGCTAACTGACTGAGATGACTGAGTTGCATACCACGTCAATGTCAACGGTCCAAAACGATCGAACAGGGGCCAACAAGCACCTACTGCTCGGCATGAGTAGTACACAACTACTCATTTCAACCAATCAGTAGTATATAGTGTTCTGCCTTACTCATTTTGTAAAAACTATTACCAAGTGAAATGTCAGACAGAAACTTCTCCCTGACAGTACTACTTCACTACAATAATGTTGTCGTATGTCATTCAGTAACCATTCTGGCCATTATTTTTCTCATTCATTTCTTTTTTCCGCCATATGTATCAAGAAATTAGAGCAAAAAACAAAACAGAAGCCAAAGCAATTTAGCAGGCATATCCACCAAGTCACTATGACAACAACCAGCGGTAATACAAATGATCCCTACATAATGATAATAATAATAATAAATGTACATTAGAAAATTTTTGACGTTTTTTCTCTCTTTGGTTTTTGATTTTGGCTAATTTTTTCAGACTACCGCCATAAAAGTGGAATAATAAACATATGTACATATATATATATTGAGAGAAAGCATTTATGAGAAGCATGAATGGTGACTGGAAGAATGTGACTGTGAGACAAATATGACATTAAAGGAGACAAGATTTTAGAAATATACATATATATGTACAAATACCATATACTGTAACATCTTTAACTGCAAAAGAAATATAGACGAGAATTGCATTTTTTGGTTGGAGAATTTCATCATGAGCTGACATTAATTAGAGAATTATTGTAAAACCTGCAGGAAGTACTGGACTAGTTTGGGACTCGTCAGCAGTACGCAACAGTCGTTGGGACCCAGGACCTAACTCGTAGACCTTTAAGTCACTGGCACCCAACCAATCCACTGGCCAGCTCATGAATTCTAACTTCTGTCAATTCATGACAGAGCACGACCACCTCGCAATGTCTTCTTCGATGATAAGTTACTGCATCACTTTCAATCTACTGTACCCTACTGGTCATGGCTTCCCACTAGAACCCCAGGTAACTAACTGCCTGAATAGGGCAAGTCATTAGCGAGCATCAGATGAATTTTCAAGTATTGGTTTTTGTAGGGATTTAGTTTGATTGGCTGAACGATTTCATCATGAGCTGACATCAGTTAGAGAATTGGTGGAAGTTAGAATTCATGGGCTGGCCATTGGACTGGGCCCCAATGGCTTAATGGTCTACAAGCTTGTCTTGTAACCAGAAGGTCCTGGGTACGAACCCCGGTGAGTGCATACTGCTGAAGAGTGTCAAACTAGTGGGACGAAACTGCTGTCAAGTACTCGGGTGTTGGTTTTTCAATGGATCACCAATATCACCTATCGTAGCAGATATATTTATGGACGGCTGGCAAAATATTGCTCTTAATACATTTATTTAATCCTACTCTAAAAATATGGTGGAGATATGTGGATGACACTCACTTACAGTGTTATAAACAGAACATATCTCTCTCTCTAGCTTCTTCACATATATATATATAAACTCATTAGTAGAGGGAATAAAATTCACATTTGAATAGAAAAATTACCAAGGAGAATTAGCTATGTTAGATTGTAAAATAAAACGAATAGAAGAAGGTGAACTGCACACTAGCGTTTATAAAAACCCAACGCATTATAATAGATATTTAGACTTTAATTCATCTCATCCGTTATCTGTTAAGGCAGGTGGCTTAGTCAAGTGTCTGGCAAACCGAACAATAGCACTAAGGGAGTACAACAAAGACCTAAATGATGAAATGAAGCAGATAGAAGAAGATTTGTTGGTGTCAAATAACTAACTATTCTATAAAATTCATTAGAAATATCAGAAAAGACCAAAAGCAAAATAAAAATAATTTTGAAACTAGTAGTGACAACACAGATAAGAGAGAATATAAGGCATTTACAGACTTACCAAATATGAAGGGAATATCTGAGACTCTACGTGGGATTCTTAATAAAGCAGGAATCAGAGTGGCATTCACACCTACCAACTCACTCAAATAGGAAATGCTCTGTAGGCTAAAAGACCCGGTGGACCCAATTAAACAAAATAATATAATTTACAAAATACCCTGCAATGACTGTGAATTAGGTCAACCACATCGGTCAAACTAGTAGTTCGGAGGTAATCAGATTGTCGGAACATTAGAATTTAGCTAAGGTCAGAATGGTTGACCCCGAGAAAATAGGTAATTCAGGAAAAAAACTCAACAGTTGCACTGCATGCATTGACACACAACCACGCACAATAGGGTGGGAGAGGGTTAAGATTCTAAGAAGTAATCTATGCAGGTGGAGAGAGAGACTGACTCCTGAATCCTGCCTGGTTCATTGAGTCTACACCCAACATATGCAACAGAAATGACTCAATGCAAATATTAGAAATATGGAAGATATTATTACCACCAGTCAGTCAAATCAGAAGAGGATAATAAATAATCTCCAAATTCTATTTCAATTCAAGCACATCACAACATTCTAACAAGTCACTTATTTTGACTAACAAAAACACTCGTCTTATTTCCCATCTGATTGTATTTGATTGATAACACTCATATTATTATTTCTCAATGTATATTATCCCATATTGATTTTTATTCAAATATCTAGTCAATTCCACACATTTAGATAAATGAAGGAAAAAGTTGTGTGAGTAGCTTGATATGATTATGAGTGGCAACAATTTGTGCTCGGAACGTGGTCATCAGTTAATATTACTGTATAACACTGTGTGATTTATCAAAATAAAGTCCTATCTCTAATGGACCATTGTCTTCCATTTCACCGAAATATTTTGTAATTGACTTCAGCCTAGCACGACGTTTGTTACACAAATACGACTATTTATTTTGACACCCTATAACTAATCTGTTATTCTATGTAAATAAAAAATGACCACCACGTAACTGGCCAGTATCGAAACGACAACAAATATATTATATTTTATAAGTGTAGGAACCTGAAGAGGGGAAATTGTTGCAAAAAATATGCTTCGTTCAGATTGACTTTTAATATATAGCTCTAACCCTGTGGCTGAGGGTCTTTACTAAATTTCTTTTGTACTGGAGAGGAACGAAGCTGTGAAAATGTGTAATTACTTTTGATTATTCAATATCAGTTTGTTTATTAGATGTATCACACAGTGAAACAACACTATTTACTGGATGATAAGGTTTCGAACAAAATTTTTTATTGTTCATAATCATATGAGTTATAATCACAGCACTTTGAAACTTGAGTTTTAAAGTTTTCTTTGTTTTCTCCAATTTGTTGTCGTTGGGGTAGTAGAATTTTCCAGATATCCGGGACAGGTTAGATAATTTAAAACTAGATAGTGAAGAGAAAATGGTTAGTTTTGACATTGTCAGTTTATATACACGTATACCAATAAATATGGCTATAGAGGCAGTCAGAAACGAACTCATTTCTGACCAAGAACTCGAACTTAGGACAAAAGTGCCACTATTAGAGGACATAATGCTCGGAGTGCGACTATGTCTGACTTCCACAGTATTTAAATTCCAAGGGAAAATATACAGACAAAGTGAGAGAGTTGCCATGGAGTCACCAATATCTCCGATTGTGGCAGATATGTTCATGGATAAGTGGGAAAGCATAGCGATTGAAACGTTCACCCCCACCCCAAAAGTATGGTGTAGGTATATAGATGGCACATTCACTGTACTTAGAACACAGGATATAGACAGATTTTTCGAACACATTAACTCAAAGGTGGAGGCAATTCAATTCACTTATGAATTGGAAAGTCAGGAAGGGGAGCTTCCAATGTTAGATTGCAACGTAAAAAGGAAAGAAGATGGGAAGTTAAACACTAGTGTTTACAGAAAACCCACACATTCAAACAGATATTTGGACTTCCGATCATCCCATCCTACGTCAATAAAAATAGGATTGGTGAAATGTTTAAATGACAGAGCACAAAAACTAAGCAGAACCAAAGAAAATCTAAAACAGGAACTGATACACATAAAAGAAGCCTTGAAACTTAATAATTACCCGGATAAATTAGTCAGAAAATATGTAAGGAAATGTAAAAATAAAATAAATAATGATAGTAGTGATAGTGATAATTATAATAATAATAATAATGGTAATATTAATGATGACATGCATGTCAAACATGCGCAAGATAATGACGACACCAACAATAAGGAATCTAAATCATCAGTAGTAATTCCATACAAGGAAGGAACCTCGGAAACCACCTTACACAGAACTCTTAACAAGCCAGGCAGAAATAAGAGTGGCTGGTATTCAATCATACACAAACTCAATTAGAAACAAGCTTTGTCGGTTAAAGGATCCCGTCAGTGGAGTCTTTAAAACAAAACAATTTAGTTTATCTAATACCCCACTGGAATGATTGTCAGGTCAAATACATAGGTCAAACTAGTAGAACAGGGGCAGTCAGACTAGCTGAACATAAATCTTAGCAAAATCTAGATTAGTTGATCAAAATAAGATAAGAAATCTAGAGAATAGTTCAGCTATAGCACTACATGCAGTTACACACAACCACATAATAGGATGGAATAGGATAGGATGACAGTTTTAAAATCTAATGTAACAGGGTGGAGGGAGAGATTGATAACAGAAGCTTTGTTTATCGAATCAACTGCAAATGCATTTATTAGGAATGATTTATCACCTGTCCGCTCGGATATCTGGAAAATCCTGCTATCCCTACGACGACAAATTGGAGAAAACAAAGAAAACTATAAAACTCAAGTTTCAGAGTCGTGTGATTACAATTGATATGATTATGCATAACAATAAATTTTGTTCGAAACCTTGTCATCCAGTGAATAATACTGTTTCACTGTGTGATACATCTAATAAACAAACTGATATGGAATTACTTACTACCACAGTGCCCAAGTTTTACACATATATTAATACTTTTGATTATAATCGTCCCTTATCTTCTAAATTGGTATTTCTAAATATTTATACTTACTAACTATATTATCTGATTGATTTTTGTTTATTGCTTTGTCCAATAATTCAAGTATATTCATCTCTACTTTAATTTCAGATATCTACAAAGCTGTAATTGTAGAGGAATGTTATATGATCGACGAATTGGAATCTGGACAGAGGAATGCAGATTCAAAAGAAACACTTTTGCTGTATAAAGGGTAGGTGGAAAATTTAAAAAAAAACATAAAAGAAAAGAAATTACCTTGTGTTATACGCATACATATATATCCTGTCAAACACTTTTATCAATGTTTTTGAGAACAATGATAAGTAAAATTGGAGAAAAATAAAGGAAAAAAGAAAACATAGTTAGATTTTCTTTTTCCGGAAGAATAATGAGCTAAATCATATTTTGTTTTGTTGTTTTGAAAATTATCTTGGTGTTGCTTCTATTTTATTGGTCAAGGAAGAAGTGTTAAAAGGACAGTAAAAAATATCATCTTGACCAGTAAATCCAGTAGAAATCTTGAGTGAGATCAAGCTGCCGAAGGCCAGTCAGGGAGGCAGTAGGGCCAGATGGAATTTCCACCCCAATCGAAGCACTGAAAACGAACCAAGAGACTGTGGCAGATGTGCTCATACTACCAAGGAAGGGAGGCTTACGCCTCACTCTGCAAGAACTGGCGTGGAATAATGTTCTTGTCCACACCAAGTAAAATACTAAGTCACGTCGTTCTGAAGAGGATAAAAGATGCACTGGATACAGAACTCCGTCCAACGGAACAAGCTGGATTCAGGACAGGCAAATCATGTGCTGCTCAAATTGTAACTCTACTCATTGTTATGGAACAAAGCAAAGAATGGCAGTTAAAGTCTCTCCCTACCTCAACTTCATCAACTTTGAGAAGTCCTTCGATAGCCAGTGTTGACCGCGAAGTAATTTGGAAACTACTTCAACGCAATGGCGTGCAGTGCTCCCAATCCTTATTGACCTCATTCAGCAACTGGCCATATGACAATGCCTGCCACCTGTCAGGTGATCGACAACCGAAAACTCAGTGAGGCGTTCGAAGTGAATACAGAAGTAAGATAAGGCTACGTATTGCCCCCCCCCCACAATGATATTCCTAATTGTAGTGGACTGGATCATGAGTCAGAATGTGAGTTGGGAGTGAGCAGACAGGAAAAAACGTTGGTTTCACAAGAAGACTCTAGCCTATCTGGATTTTGTGGATGATTCATGTTTGATATCACATGAACTCAAGAACTTGCAGGCGAAAACCAACAAACTGGCTCAAGAAGCAGTGCAGTGAAGACAGGATTCCAGGTAAACATAGAGAAGACACACACGCATTAACAGCGAAAACAACAACCGTCACCAATCACCATCATTGGGAAAGATTTGAAAGAGGACACTTCATTCACTTATCTGGACAGGAAGAATTGTTTCAATCACATGCAGTTGGAACGAATGAAGGTGTGAAAGCCAGTCAAAGAGAATCGGAAAGGCAAGATACACCTTCATCAATCTGAAATCAGTTTGGAAATCTTCTGCTTCACTCAGCCAGCCACCCTGTATAAAGAAGAAGATTCACATTTTCAACACAAATGTAAAGTCAGTTAGCCGGTCAGTTTTTCCACTATATAAGTCAGAAACCTGCATTGCGCGTGAGTTACGAGAAGCATTTACAAAAGGCCAATGTAGACTTTTATCAACAGCTACCTTCAATGGCTCCACAGTGCAGATCAAATTGCGAGCTAGTCAGAAACACTTGGCAAGATGAAAGTCTGGAAACAAACCAACAGGCAAGAACGTATCGTTGGAGAAATATGTAGGAGAAAATGGTGATGGATCGGGCATACAACACTGGGGAGACCGCCAATGACATCACACTCAGTGAGGGCAGTCGACGGAGTGGAACCCGAATGGCAACGAGGAGTTTAGTGTTGGTCAGAGGGTGAAGTGGAGGAGATCGTTTGGGGAGAAGGAGATGAGGGATTATGGGGAATCGTGGGCCCATCCAGATGAAGGGGACAGGAGAATATAGAAGAAAGTGGAACTGTGTTTCTGAAGCCCTATGTTCCACTCAGAACCCAAGGAAATTATAATACTAAATCCAAAAGAACGAATGGATTAAACTTCTCTGCAACAAGGTTTTTGATATAAACCACAAGTAAACTCCTGTCTGTCTTTTATAAAGTAGCTAAAATTGATATGGGTTAATAGTGATCGCCACTAATGATAATGCTGTGACTAAATGTCGACACGAAAAGGCAATAAGTAACTCATTTTGAAGGCCAAATACCAATTGTTTTCATTATTGTTATTATTCCCTCAGTGCTCGAGTGGGACATGGGGGACCAGCAGCACATCTCCGTTTCATCACTAGCTTCTCCGTCGTCTTTTACTAGCTAACTCCACGATTTCCGATGAGCTTTCATCTCTTCCTTACATGATCGCCTGCACGTCACCCAAGGATTCACGCTAAACGTGTCATTTTTCACTTGGGTTCCACTTGACAACGTGGCACACGATGTCGCTCAACAGTGTCCTCAGCGTATGTCCAATCCATGCGTATTTCCTTTGATATATTTGTTGGACAATGATTGTTGTTTGCTCACCATTTCTGGCTATATGATTGTTAGTATGAGGCCAAAAGATGATGAACGTCTGCTGCAGTGTGTGTGGATTGCTTTCCGGGACTCGCGTTCGAAATCTCTGATCTACACCGGAGCACAGATCTGACATTGGAGTTGGCAATTCACATCTTGTTCCCTAGTATCTAGATCTAATAGATGACTTGTCAGACAGCAGGATCAGTAGTTGTCTACATTTTCTCAGCACATTCTCACAAACAAGCAGATGCACCCAATGTAACTCAACAGAATAACACGTGATTGTCCAGTGTTCCATGTGATCAGCGATTGATTCAAGTCAAGACAGAGAAATAAACTTAAAGCTTAGTTGACAATTTCTTAAAAGACCTAAATTATTAATATATGTGTAAAACTTGGGCACTGTGGTAGTAAGTAATTCCATATTAGTTTGTTTATTAGATGTATCACACAGTGAAGAAACAGTATTATTATTTACTGGATGACAAAGTTTCGAACAAAATTTATTGTTCATAATCATTCCATCAATTATAATCACACGACTTCGAAACTTGAGTTTTATAGTTTTCTTTGTTTTCTCCTATTTGTCGTCGTAGGGGTAGTAGAATTTTCCAGATATCCGAGTGGACAGGTGATGAATCATTCCTAATACATGTATTTGCATCTGATTCGATAAACAAAGCCTCTGTTATCAATCTCTCCCTCCTTTCACCCTGTTACATTCGATTTTAAAACTGTCATCTTATCCTATCCCATCCTATTGTATGGTTGTGTGTAACTGCATGTAGTGAGTATTATAGCTGAAACTATTCTTCAGATTTCTTATCTTGTTCGGGTCAACTAATCTAGATTTCGCTGCTAGATTTTTATGCTCGGCTAGTCTGACTGACTGATCCTGTTCCTATACTTTGACCTATGTATTTGACCTGAAAATCATTCCCACAGCTTATTAGATAAACTAAATTGTTTTGTTTTAATGGCTCCACTGACGGGATCCTTTAACCGACAAAGTTTGTTTCTAATTGAGTTTGGGGGTGGTTTGAATACCAGCCACTTTTATTTCTGCCTTGTTAAGAATTCTGTGTAAGGTGGTTTCCGAGGTTCCTTCCTTGTACGGAATTACTACTGATGATTTAGATAACTTATTGTGGGTGTTGTCTTGAGCATATTTGACATGCCCCTAGGATAAATAGGAGAGAACAAAGAAAACTATAAAACTCAAGTTTCGAAGTCGTGTGATTATAATTGATGGAATGATTATGAACAATAAATTTTGTTCGAAACTTTGTCATCCAGTAAATAATAATACTGTTTCTTCACTGTGTGATACATCTAATAAACAAACTAATATGGAAAGACCTAAATTATATTTTCACGTCTGCTCCTAACTACTACAAAATTTACTATATTAGACTTCGAATAAAGCAAGAACAACAACAGTGGTTTGTGCAGAATAAAATGATACCATCACTGTCTATTTCATTGGCTTCTCATCAGCTGCTGCTTACAGCCTAAATAAATTATTATTAAGTTCATGTACAGAAAAGTTTTGACATACTTGCAAAATTTATATGATGTCAGTTGACAGGAGGTTCCGGACTCAGTGAACAGTGCTCAGAAAATTACTCTTATGGAGTTCTTACACAGTCAGTTAAAGCTTAAACAAAGTAAATGTATGCATACAATGGTAAAGGAATTACGTGTCAAAGACGAGATATCCGTAAGATGACCAGTAACTAATAAATTGCGTAATAATATACTGAGTTCAACTCAAATCACAGAAACACAACACAATCAGAATTACACCATATCAAAGGGGTGAGTTTAAAGACAAAAAATACGTAATCAAATGAAAAAAAGGGAGAGACAGTGAAGACATCCAGTTACCAGGCAGGGCAAAGAAAGACTGATAACTGCTTCTTTCTGAACACATAAATCAGGTTTCAGGCACTTGATAGAGATTGCTTCGACAAACTTGAGGAAAACTGAGCTTTTCTATCTACTGATAATTTTAATGAATTTTGTGATTTCCACCTCATGAGCCGTATCAAAGAGATGCCTGGCAATGGCACTGTTGGAAGCATTTGTTCCATTGAGAGGTTCTCTCATTTTAAATGCTTCCACAGATACATGCAAATTTCTATACCCATCTGGAGTTAATATGAGAAGTGTATCTGCCAAGTAATCCACAACGGGAAACTTACGGAATCCTTCGAAGTGAGGACAGGAGTAAGACAAGCTGGCTGCCTACTATCGCCGATGATTTTCCTGATTGCAGTAGACTGGATAATGCGACAAACAGCGGGCAATGAGGAAACAGGCATAAAATGGACACACAAAAAACTTGGAGGATCTGAACTTCGCCGATGATATATGTCTGATTTCCCACAAACTGGAAGATATGCAAGTGAAAAGCAACAAGTTGGTAGAAGAAGCATCAAAGATAGGACTTCAGGTGAACATAGAGAAAACAGAGGTGATGAAGATTCTTGGCCAACACCACCAACAGCAACAACAACAACAGACAACAATCAGCATAAATGGAAGGAACCTGAAAGAAACAAACTCCTTTACCTACCTGGGAAGCATCGTTTCAACTACA